AGAGAGAGACTAACATTGTGCCTAGTGTACTGTAGGTGCCCAGTAAATATTGTTGAATAATAAATCACTGAGTTCTGGCTGGTGACTTCCCCACATCAGCTTTTAGCCTTTAGATGAGACTCTTGAAATTGTATAGGAAATGAAGAAAGGGTGATAGGATCTTTAAAGGATCATTTGTGAGTTTGAATCATTTTCTTAGGTTGGAAAATACCCATATTGTTTATGAGAGCTTTCTCTACTTTGCTTTCTTCTTTTTTTTTGAGACAGAGTCTCAAGCTGTCACCCCAAGTAGAATGCTGGTGGCTTCAAAGCTCACAACAACCTCAAACTCTTGGGTATAAACAATTCTCTTGCCTCAGCCTCTCAAGTAGCTGGGACTACAGGGGTCCACCACAACACCCAGCTATTTTTTGTTGTTGTTGCACTTGTTATTGTTGTTTAACTGGCTCAGGCCGGGTTCAGACCAGCCACCTTCAGTATATGTGGCTGGTACCCTAACCACTGAACTACGGTGCTGCCCTGTCCTTTGCTTTCAAAAGTGATTCTTTTCAACATTTTCTGGCAGATTGGGAAAAAGTTGAGCCTGAAAAGTATATAGCAACTGTTTTTGTTTGTTTGTTGCTGTTTTTTTCTTCAGTTAACTCTAAAACAGTGATTCTCAACCTTCCTAATACCAGGTTCCTTTAATACACTTCCTCATGTTGTAGTGACACCCAACCATAAAATTATTTTTGTTGCTACGTCATAACTGTAATTTTGCTACTATTATGAATCGTAATATAATTATCTGATATGCAGGATGTATTTAGGTGACCCCTGTGAAAGGGTTGTTTGACCCCAAAGGGGTCGTGACCCACAGGTTGAGAACCACTGCTCTAAAAGATGGTTTTTTCATAAGGACCTGCCAAGTTTTATTTTAATAAAATGTAATGAAGAGGAAATGGCTTCAAAGATATCATCAATCTTTTATTTGACTAAGCACTGCATTTCATTTTGAAAGAAATGATACAATTTCTTTTTTGTTGTTGTTGCAGTTTGGCCGGGGCCAGGTTTGAACCTGCCATCCTCCATATATGGGGCCGGCGCCCTACTCACTGAGCCACAGGCACCTCCGGAAGGAAATGACACAATTTCTTTTTTTTTTTTTAGAGACAGAATCTCACTTTGTCGCCCTTAGTAGAGTGCGTTGGCATCACAGCTCACAGCAATCTCCAACTCCTGGGCTTAGGCAATTCTCTTGCCTTAGCTTCTCAAGTAGCTGGGACTACAGGCACCTGCCACAGCACCTGGCTATTTTTTTGTTGCAGTTTAGCTGGGGCTGGGTTCAAACCTGCCACCCTTGGTATATGGGGCCAGTGCCCTACTCACTGAACCACAGGCACCACCCAAGAAATGATATAATTTCAAATTGGAACTTCCTTCTCAAGAAGTGGTATAAGAGGCTCAGCGCCCATAGCACAGTGGTTATGGCGTCAGCCACATACACCAAGCGAGCTGGGTTCAAACCTGGCCCAGGTCAGCTACACAACAATGACAACTGCAACAAAAAATAGCTGGGCGTTGTGGTGGGTGCCTGTAGTCCCAGCTATCTGAGAGGCTGAGGCAAGAGAATCGCTTAAGCCCAAGAGTTTGAGGTTGCTGTGAGCTGTGACACTATGGCACTCTACCAAGGGTGACATAGTGAAACTCTGTCTCAAAAACAACAACAAAAAAGAAGTGGTATAAAAATATAACATTGAGGGCTGGGCACAGTGGCTCATGCCTTTAATCCCAGCCCTTGGGAGGCCCTGGTGGGTGGATTGTGGGTGCCTGTAGTCCCAGCTACTTGGGAAGCTAAGGCAAGAAGATCACTTGAACCCGAGAGTTTGAGGTTGCTACAAGCTAAGACGCCATGGCACTCTACCAGGGGTGACCAAGTGAAACTGTCTCAAAAAAAAAAGAACGTAACATTGATTTAAGATACAACTTTCCATAAAAATTAAGTTTGCACAATTCACTGGGGAAATGCATATGTAGTTGATATTGTTAGTCAATGTAATTCTCCATGGACCACAAGTATTATAGCCAAGAACAAAACAATACAACAAAAATTGAGTTATCTGGTCAAATTTATAGTTACCCTGATGTAAAAAAAAAAAAAAAAATTCAAGGCTCAGCGCCTGTAGCTTAAAAAAAATTCAAAAACAATACTGAATTTTCCAAACAAATCCATTTGATGATGATAATCACATTAGATTTTCTTCTTTTTTTTTTTTGAGATAAGAATCTCACTCTGTCACACTGAGTAGAGTGCCATGGTGTCCCAGCTCAGAGCAACCTCCAACTCTTGGGCTTAAGCAATTCTTTGGCTTCAGCCTTCTAAGTAGCTGGGACTACAGGTGCCCACTATAATGCCAGCTATTTTTTGGTTGTAGTTGTCATTGTTGTTTGGCAGGCCTGGGCTGGGTTTGAACCCTCCAGCTCCTGTGTATGTGGCTGGCACCCTAGCTGCTGAGCTACAGGCGCCAAGCCAGATTTTATTCTATTATATAAAAAATGGTGACAACCACATAATATCAAGAGTCTTCAACATAGTGGATTCCATTTTGGTAAGAAATAAAAGAGAAAGTAGTTCTAAAATTTTATTAGCTCTCTGTAGCATATGTCATATAAAATTAAAGTTCTGCTTCCAACATGTGGGAACTGTTTTTTACAGGTGTACATAAGGTCCACAAGTTAGATGGGATGTCAAAAAATCCTTCAGAGAAAAATAGAACAAGTATTCCAGTTAAAGATAATTTCGAATTAGAGGTACTTCAGGCACAATACAAAGAACTTAGAGAAAAGGTAAGTGATTTATGGTTTTTGTAGCAAATTTATTTCACTTATTCATTATATGATGAAATATATAAAAGTTTTTGGTTTTTTTTTTGTTTTTTGAGACAGAATCTCAAACTGTTGCCGTGATTAGAGTGCTGTGGCATCACAGCTCACAGCAACCTCAAACTCTTGGGCTCAAGCGATTCTCTTGCCTCAGTCTTCCAAGCAGCTGGGACTATAGGCACCCACCTATTTTTTGGTTATAGTTGTCATTGTTGTGTTAGCTGGGCTGGGCTGGGCTGGGCTGGGCTGAGTTTGAACCCGCCAGCCTCAGTGTATGTGGCTGGCACCCAACCCACTGAGCTATGGGTGCTGTATAAAAGTTTTTAAACAACAGTCTAGATTCATCCCCATGAAATGAGAGAAGGTGGAGGAAAAAAGCCAGAAAAATTCAGCTTAAAGAAACTAAATTCTGGCTCGGCGCCTGTGGCTCAGGCAGCTAAGGCGCCAGCCACATACACCTAAGGTGGCGGGTTCGAATCCCCAGCCCGGGCCCGCCAGACAACAATGATGGCTGCAACCAAAAAATGGCCGGGCGTTGTGGCGGGCGCCTGTAGTCCCAGCTACTTGGGAGGTTGAGGCAGGAGACTCGCTTGAGCCCAGGAGTT